AAAATGTGTGCGGAAAACAGTTGTAACTTGAGATACTACCCTTTTGCACAAAAAAATATGTAACAAATTATCAAAATTTTATTTGTAAAACGGTTGTAACTTGAACTTATTCAAATATCTTTTTTCAAAAATAATTTGCTTCTTTTTTATTATTTTGTTTCTAATTCCTTAACTAAAATGTATATATTTTCCTAAAATAAAACATTTTTATTCATTAACAAAAGTTTTACAAAGTTTTTTCATACTCCTGTAAAATTTGCTTAAATTGAGTTACAACCGTTTTGCGCTAAGCCCGCGGTATAGATTTTTCTAGCAATACTTCTGAACACTCCAGCAATACTTGGAAAACATTCTAACATTTTCATTATCTGACAACAGAAAACATGTGGCATCCAAATTTCATTTTGAAAGGCACAGTAAACACATGAGTGGATAACTTTTTATACTAGGAAAGCACATTATATATTCTATAATAAAAGTATCATATGAACATTAAATACTATAATTCAATTGGTAATGGCAGAGTGGAAGGACAAGGGCTAATGCTCCTGCAGTAACAGCGTAAAATTAAGTATCTAGTTTATTAGGATAGCATGACGCCGTTTTACAGACATGATCTGATTGTTAACAGACATGATCTGATCGTTTTACAGACACCATCTGATCATTTTACAGACGTGATCGTTTTACAGACATGATCTCATCATTTTACAGACATGATCTCATCGTTTTACAGACACGATCGTTTTACAGACATAATCTGATCGTTTAACAGACATGATCTGATCGTTTTACAGTCACGAGAGTTTTACAGACTTGATCTGATCGTTTTACAGACATGATCGTTTTACAGACATGATCTGATCGTTTTACAGACATGATCTGATCGTTTTACAGTCACGAGCGTTTTACAGACTTGATTTGATCGTTTTACAGACATGATCGTTTTACAGACATGATTGTTTTACAGACATGAACTGATCGTTTTACAGACACGATCTGATTGTTTTACAGACACGATCTGGTCGTTTTACAGACACGATCTGATCGTTTTACAGACATGAACTGAACGTTTTACAGACACGATCTGATTGTTTTACAGACACGATCTGGTCGTTTTACAGACACGATCTGATCGTTTTACAGACATGAACTGAACGTTTTACAGACACGATCTGATCGTTTTACAGACACGATCTGATCGTTTTACAGACACGATCTGATCGTTTTACAGACATGATCTGATTGTTTTACAGACACGATCTGATCGTATTACAGACATGATCGTTTTACGGACATGAACTGATCCATTAACAGACACGATCTGATAGTTTTACAGACACGATCTGATCGTTTTACAGACATGATCTGATCGTTTTACAGTCACGAGCGTTTTACAGACTTGATCTGATCGTTTTACAGACATGATTGTTTTACAGACATGAACTGATCGTTTTACAGACACGATCTGATTGTTTTACAGACACAATCTGGTCGTTTTACAGACACGATCTGATTGTTTTACAGACATGAACTGAACGTTTTACAAACACGATCTGATCGTTTTACAGACACGATCTGATCGTTTTACAGACATGATCTGATTGTTTTACAGACACGATCTACTCGTATTACAGACATGATCGTTTTACAGACATGAACTGATCCATTAACAGACACGATCTGATCGTTTTACAGACACGATCTGATCGTTTTACAGACATGAACTGATCGTTTTACAGACACGATCTGATTGTTTTACAGACACGATCTGGTCGTTTTACAGACATGATCGTTTTACGGACACGATCTGATCGTTTTACAGACACAATCTGATCGTTTTACAGACATGATTGTTTTACAGACATGAACTGATCGTTTTACAGACACGATCTGATCATTTTACAGACACCGCCATAGTGTAGTCAGGTACGGTTTGTCAGCGTACGGTATGGTACGGACATATACAGAACATTATTGTAAAAGAGTTGTTCCCCTTCGTATTACATGTACGCCATTTGTTGCCGATTCTTTAGGCAATATTAATAAACTACAAAACTCATATATTTGTGTGTTTCTATACCGTTAAACCTTACTGGCGTGGTGGCAGCAGGAAAAGGACTCACTCTCAATCTGCAACCCAGTAATTTGCGGACACTGTTGTGGACATTTCACGTCAAAATAAGTGCAAAAAAAACCCGGATAGTTCTACTCTACTGCGTAGTGACAAAACACATAAACATTTACAATAATGGCTCAAGTACGTGCACCCAAGCAATGGTGTTTGACCAAACAAGAAACTATTACATCGTTCGAGTCTTGGAGACAAAATTTACAATATACTTTGTCCCTGGATCCCAATTTTGCACCGTTCCTAGTTGAGGGATTTCAGTGGGAGCGAAAAACAAACACAAACCCAGAACGCGGATTTACTGATGATGGCGAATCAGTTCCTGAGGCAAAGAGGCGCACAGCTGCACAAAAAGTGATTTATCTAGAACTCATGTTAGGGCAAATTGCAAACTTCTGCCCAATAATTTCTCGTAACACTATCGTGAAAAATGCAACGTCAATAAAAACTATTTGGCAGACAATTCGTTTACATTTCGGATTCCAGTCAACAGGAGCACATTTTCTGGATTTTGACAGTATACAACTTCAACCAGGAGAGAGACCAGAGGATTTATACCAGCGTTTATCAAGTTTTATCGAAGATAACACATTAAAGAAAGACGGTGGCCTATCTCATATGGGAACTGTACCAGATGAAGACGAAGAGATTACCCCAACAGTCGAAAACTTGGTTGTATTAACATGGTTGAGATTAATAGACAATCGTTTGCCGGCACTAGTAAAACAGCGCTACGGAACAGAACTTCGTTCAAGGACTTTAGCCACACTTAAGCCTGAAATTTTCTCTCGCTTTAGACAGTTTGCTAGACGAAATACATGCCGTAGCTGATGCAAAAGTCATGCGTTCTGCTTTTAAAGGTTCTAAAGACAACGGAAAATTTCGATCAATCTCTCGTGCCACCCCTTCGTGTCCCTTATGTAAACAAGCTGGCCGAAGATCATTCAATCATTTTCTCAGCAAATGCAAATTCTTACCTGAGGAAGACAAGCGTTATCTTTCAAGTGTTCGTCAAACTGTCTCGGACGAAACTGCTGGGGATCCGGAAATCGATCAAGAGTCTTACGAAGATGACAATCAGCAATCTCAATGCTATGGTATACATTCGGCTACTTCTAGACGTGTAAGCACCAAACAGTCTCCAACATTAAAAACATTTTATAAACATTTTCCTCTGAATGTTACCCTAGATACTGGAGCAGAAATCAACATGTTGAAATTGTCTGTTGCACACTATATGGGAGTACCTATTAAGAAAAGCAATCAACGTGCACTCCAGGCAGATGGTTCCACCCCATTAAAGGTGGCTGGCGAGACACATATAGTTCTTACTCGTGGCGAACAGAGTTTAACTGTTGAGGCATTAGTGGTTGAAAACTTAGATGTGGATTTACTTGGTGGAATACCTTTCATGGCAACAAATGACATTATGGTTAGACCTGCAAAGCAACAAATTGTTATTCATGGTTCTGATACAGTGTTTTATGCACCAGAGGTACCTGACTCGGTTTCTCACAGTGTTCGAAGGACCCAAGCTTTTTGTCCTTAGGTCAAGTTCCAATATGTCTTCAATTACATGGCCGGGATCTTACCTGGAGGTCACTTTACCAGACAACATTGATCCAGATGGCACACTTGCCATAGAGCCCAAGTTCGGAGCATCCAGTAACAAACAATGGCCACTTCCACAAGTTATTGAAGCAGTGTCTGGTAAAGTAAGACTACTGAATTCAACGACCAATCCCATCCATGTGCATAAAAATGAACATGTTTGTCAAGCTCGCCACACTGTTGACTCTTATGATACAAAAGCTCAAGACTTTCAAGACACACCCCTGGTTCGTACTTGTCATGCCAAGATGACTACCAATAATCATTTCTCTGATACCGTATCAGTTGACCCAGATGCTATACTACCTGAAAATACTCGCCAGTGTTTCCAGAACATCTTAGAGCAATATGATAGTGTATTTGATAAGACTCTGTCTGGATATAATGGTTTTTCTGGGCCATTCAAAGCAGTTGTTAACATGGGCCCTGTTCAACCACCTCAGCGTAAAGGACGCCTACCTCAATATGCAAGAGATAAGTTAGTTGAGCTACAAGAACACTTCGATGATTTAGAACAGCAAGGAGTGTTTTCGCGCCCAGAAGATATCCCAATTACAGTTGAATACTTAAACCCTTCTTTCTTGGTAAAAAAAGGTCAGGGAGGTTTTCGGTTGGTCACAGCGTTTGCTGATGTTGGTCGTTATGCTAAACCTCAGCCTTCACTCATGCCAGACGTAGACACTATACTTCGTACAATAGGTCAATGGACATACATAATAGTAACTGACCTAACAAGCGCATTCTACCAAATTCCTTTGTCGAAGGAGTCCATGAAGTATTGCGGAGTAGCGACACCTTACAAAGGCATACGCGTTTATACAAGATGTGCCATGGGTATGCCAGGCTCAGAAACAGCATTGGAAGAACTCATGTGTCGTGTGCTAGGTGATTTATTGCAAGAAGGTGTTGTGGCGAAACTTGCAGATGATTTGTACATCGGTGGAAACACTACAGACGAACTCCTTGCCAATTAGATGCTTTACAGAAAAACAACTTGAAACTGAAGCCCACAAAAACCATCATATGTCCAAGATCCACTACGATCCTTGGATGGATATGGTCCCAAGGAAAATTTTCAGCAAGCAACATCGTATAGCTTCTCTTTCGGCTTGTCCACCCCCTCAAACTGTCCATGGCTTACGATCATACATTGGCGCTAACAAGGTGTTAGGTCGTGTTCTACCTGGTTGTTCGCAATTGATAGCTCCACTTGACAACATTACAGCTGGTGGGAACTCTTCAGACAAAATCGTTTGGGATGAAGCCTCACTTAAACATTTTCAAAAACACTCAGTCAGCACTAAATTCAAACAAGTCAATTGTCCTTCCTAGACCTACAGACCAACTTTGGATAGTCACTGATGGGTCAGTCAAGAAACGTGGCATTGGCGCTACATTATACGTTACGTGGCATGGCAAGCTGTTACTCGCTGGATTCTTCAGTGCCAAGTTACGAAAACACCAGGTCACTTGGTTACCTTGTGAGATAGAGGCTCTTGGCATTGCAGCCGCAGTCAAGCACTTCAGTCCATACATTATACAGTCCAGTCAGCAGACGTGTGTGCTAACAGACAGTAAACCGTGTGTTCAAGCAATTGATAAGTTATGTAGAGGCGAGTTTTCTGCTAGTCCAAGAGTGACATCCTTTCTTTCTGTTGTTAGCCGATATCAAGTACATGTTAAACATCTTGCTGGTTCTGCCAATGTCCCATCTGATTTTGCCAGCCGCAACGCACCAGAATGTGAAAACCCCACTTGCCAAATATGTACATTTATTCATATCACTGAGGATTCTGTTGTTAGAGCGATTAACATAGAGGATGTACTTAACAGTAAGAGCCGCTTACCATTCACATCCAGATCAGCTTGGAAAGATATTCAGTCAGAGTGCCCAGACCTTAGACGCGTTCATTCACATTTATTACAAGGCACTAGGCCTTCAAAGAAACTAACAAATGTTAAAGATGTCAAACGTTACCTCAACTCTGTATCTATTGCCAAGGATGGTATACTTGTCGTAAAACATACTGATCCTCTTGTGTCTTCGGTTGACCTAATTGTCGTACCCAGATCTGCCATTGATGGTCTTATCACCGCCTTGCATATCAAACTTGACCATCCATCAAAACATCAAATTCTACAGGTTTTGAAGAGACATTTTTATGCCTTGGACATGAGCCAAGCAGTTGAAAGAGTATCTGACATGTGTCATAGCTGCGCGTCTTTACGTAAACTACCAACAGGGTTTTGTACTCAATCCTCAGAAGACCCTCCTGAGGTAGTAGGAATGAGTTTCGCTGCAGACGTCATGAAACGTAATAAACAGTTAGTACTTGTGTTAAGAGAAACATCAACTTCATACACTGTTGCCTCCATAGTAGAAAATGAAAGAAGAGATACTATAAGAGATTCCTTAGTATGCCTGTGCACTGAGTTACATCCAATTCATGGACCTCCTGCTGTCATTCGAGTTGACGCTGCTCCATGTTTTACATCTTTGAGAGATGACGCCATACTCCGTCGTCTGAATATAACCTTAGATATTGGTCGCGTGAAAAATGTTAACAAAAACCCTGTAGGAGAAAAAGCAATTCAAGAGCTTGAAGATGAGATCATACGTATTGAGCCAGATGGCGGTTCGCTTTCTAAGGTTCAACTGGCGATTGCTGTCGCGAAACTGAATTGTCGCATCCGTCGTGAAGGATTATCAGCTAGAGAGTTGTGGACGCAAAGAAATCAGTTTACTCATGAACAACTTCCTATTTCGGACAGAAATGTTATTTCTCAACAGTATCAGGCACGTTTAGAAAATCACAGTGCAAGTGAAAAGTCCAAAAGCTCTAAGTCATCTGTGAAAGCCTCTCATGTTAGTGTAGGAGATATAGTTTACTTATATTCTGACAAGAATAAATTACATTCAAGGCAAAGATACCTTGTAGTGTCAAAAGAAGATGATTGGTTTTACATAAAGAAGTTCATCGGTAACCAGTTACGCGCTTCCTCGTATAAAGTGAAACAAAATGAATGTTTCCGCGTTCCCACAGAAATACAAAATTTTAATCTTTCTAAGTGCAAATTCCAGCAAGACAATGATAGCGACGATATAGACAGTGACATTTGTGTTCCTCAGGACAACGTTCATATTCCGCCTTCATTAACTGCACCACTAGGAGCTACAGAAATGCCTGAAGTTCAGAGTCCTCCGAGTGTTAGTGGAGAAATGGACACACATGAACCTGACACTGAAACATCTCTTAGTCTTACTGACAGTACTAACTCTAGTTTAAGTTATACTAATGAGGGGACTGAATTACATTCAGAAAGACCGCAGAGGCTCCGCAAGCAACCTAAATACCTTGATGATTACATTACATAGACACATACATAATTAATAAGTTACCATTTTAATAACTGTTTATATCATTGTTTTGTTAAACGTTTATGGATTTGATTATTAAGAGTGTCTCAATTATTAGACTATATTTCATCACTTAGTTTATCTTAAAAGGATATGTATACGTTAATAAGTTAAATTTCAAAAAGAAAGAAAGGTAGCGCCATAGTGTAGTCAGGTACGGTTTGTCAGCGTACGGTATGGTACGGACATATACAGAACATTATTGTAAAAGAGTTGTTCCCCTTCGTATTACATGTACGCCATTTGTTGCCGATTCTTTAGGCAATATTAATAAACTACAAAACTCATATATTTGTGTGTTTCTATACCGTTAAACCTTACTGGCGCACGATCTGGTCGTTTTACAGACACGATCTGATCGTTTTACAGACATGATCTGATTGTTTTACAGACACGATCTGATCGTATTACAGACATGATCGTTTTACAGACATGAACTGATCCATTAACAGACACGATCTGATTGTTTTACAGACACGATCTGATCGTTTTACAGACATGAACTGATCGTTTTACAGACACGATCTGATTGTTTTACAGACACGATCTGGTCGTTTTACAGACATGATCGTTTTACGGACACGATCTGATCGTTTTACAGACATGATCTGATCGTTTTACAGACATGATCCGTGCATCTCTTTATAAAAGTGTATTTTTATATGCCTTACAAACAAGGACCAGTCAAGTCCATAAAAGGTGTTAACATTAGCAAAATAGATTAGTTAGTTTCCAGGTCATTATTTAAAGTTTTAGGATATCACTTGACCATCTACTCTTTTTAAGGTGCGTTATAATATTTTATTAATATAAATTCACAGCACGTTTCTTTTACAAAGATTAATATCCGGTCGTAAAAGATTAATATCCGGTCGCTCGGTACAGGTAGTTGTTTCACAGAAAGAGTCAGTGCTTGGCCATTCATTTAATACACACCCAGCTGGAACCGAAAGTGATTCTCGGAGTCCAAAGTTTGAATGCAGACAAAACACGTACATATGTGTAGAAGGGGGATAAGTACACAATGCATATATAACGTTTTATTGCAAGAGTTGTCTCCCTTGAACTTCGTTAACAAGAAATTTGTTTTCAAATAACGTTTGTTTATGGAACAAAATTTTCAAATTTTAGCCGGGTTCCAGAGGTGCAAACCCGGGTTATAGTATGGTGAATGGCAGCAACGGGCGGGGAAAAGACTTTCGTAACAGTTTTCTCAGCAGGTACTTATCACAATCTCTTGATATTTGGCATACAGCATCAACACATGGTCCCGTACTGTGGGATTCAATTTCAGCTCTTTCGCTCATCCACTTCCTGATTGCTGACTTAGTTGAATTTTCGACATTTATGGTCACAGTTTTCTCAGCAGCTACTTATCATAGCCTCTTGATATTTCGCATACAGCATTAACATGTGGTCCCATAATGTGAGATTCAATTTCAGGTCTGTCCCTCATCCACTTCCTGTTTGCCTACTTATTTAAATTTTTGACATTTATGGTCAATGGTAGGAAATTTTCGTAACAGTTTTCTCAGCAGCTACTTATCACAGCCTCTTGATATTTTGCACACAGCATTAACATGTGGTCCCGTAATGTGGGATTTGATTTTAGGTCTGTCGCTCATCCACTTCCTGTTTTTTAGTTAATTTTTCAACATAAATGGTCAATGGTAGGAAATTTTCGTAACAGTTTTCTCGGGTACTACTTACCACAGCCTCTTGATTCGGGTTCACAGCTTTGACATGTGGTCCCATTTTGTGGGATTCCATTTCAGGTCTGTTGCTCATCCATTTCCGGTTTACTGACTTAATTAAATTTTCAACATCAATGGTCAGTGAAAGCAAATTTAAGTAACAATACACAGCCTCATGATATTTTGTACACATACGCAACCTGGCCTTTAATTTCTGTCTTTGACCCATTTTTAGCTCGACTTTTCTATGAAAAGGGGAGCTATCCTACTCGCCCCGGCGTCGGCGTCGGCGTTGGCGTCGGCGTCGGCGTTGGCGTCACACCTTGGTTAAGTTTTTCGTACCACCCCACTTTATTTCAGAAGTATTACAAGTATGGCTTTGAAACTTACCATACTTGTTCACCATCATAACCTCCATCTACAGACAAGAGTACATAACTCTGTCAAGGTTTTTGACAGAAATTATGGCCCTTTTTTGACTTAGAAAGTGTATTGAGCTTGGTTAAGTTTTTTGTACCACCTCACTTTATTTCAAAACCATTGGAGGTATTGCTTTGAAACTGACCATACTTGTTTACCATCACGACCTTCATCAACAGACAAGAGGACATAACTCTGTCAAGGTTTTTGACAGAATTATGCCCCTTTTTGACTTAGAAAATACATTGAATATGGGTAAAATCCACTTATTGCCTTAACCCTTTGAGATATTGCTTTGAAACTTTTAATGCTATTTCACATCATTACCCCATCTGTACGCAAGAGAAGGTAACTCTGTCAAGGATTTGTTTTAAAAATTAAGGCCTTTTATCGACTTAGAATCTTGGTTAAGTTTTTAGTACCAGTCCACTTTTTGACTGAACTGTTTGAGATATTAATTTGAAAGTTGGAATACTTGTTTACAATCATGATTCCCAAACATGTCCAGGAGAAGGTAATTCTCTGTCAAAGATTTTATTTGAATTATGGCCCTTAACTGTCAATGTTTTGTATTATAGGCAAGCACTAAAAAACTTAAAAAATCTAAAAAAATTCATTCCTATCCACTTGTTCACTTTACCATAAATTATGTCATATAAACATTGCTGTAATATTCAAGGGTATCAAACAACTAGTTCACTTTAAAAATACAGAGATTCTTGTATTGCCTTTTACTGCAAAAACTTTTTTTATTGGCAAGCAATAAAAAAGTCGAGCGCGCTGTCTTACGGACAGCTCTTGTTTTAAAAAGCTCTTGTATATATGAATGCATGTTTGTTGTTATGCTGATAAGACTTATAATTATAATACTTATAGTATTTTTTTAAAGCAGGGGTCATAATTTGTCATAATTTATTTATTTATTTTTTTTATAGGTTTTTGACACTTTTAAGATGAACACAGGTTATTTTATCAATCTGGTCATATTTTTTCTTCCCAAGTCCGATACTCGTGCCTGTGGGTCAAAACTGTCTTATTTGTCAATGTATGTATGAGGATGTCGCAGGGTTACCTCAATGAGTTTTTTTTTAATCTTTAAACGTTTTCTCTTGTACCACGTATATAATGATGTGTAGGTTTTTGTAGAATATATTAGTTAAATTCCAGGTCGTTATTTAAAGTATTGAATCTACGATCACGGAGGTAACCCACTTTGAATTCACCAGAGCAAAGTTTAGTAGAATTTATATAAGCGCAATATAGTCTTACAGTCATATCCTGATCTGAAGTCCAAAGACCGACCAACATCCAGAATAAATGAGTGAACTGCGACATATATACTTTACCATACTTATATAATTACAGTATTATTATAGTCAAGAAAAAACTAGTTTGATGGCGATATTCATATATGATTATGGCAAATCGAAAACAAAAATAGAAGACAACTATATTGCTGTACTTAATACGGCGGTAACCTGTGTTCTAAATTTTGTTTACAAAAGTAACGGTTGTTAAAACATGACATATATAAGGAAATATAAAATGTCACTTATAAATATACAAGAAATGACCGATTCTTCCATCTTATTCAAAATAATTATGTATGCAAAAACTAGTCACTGACAATTTACAAAAAGTAGTGTCATTTTTATTTCACTCGTATTTTAAAGAGAATCCCGTCTCTATCAACAAAATATTTATCCACTTCCCGCCTTTCAAATAATTCCGCCATGTTTTTATTTTCCACTGTTGATATTAACGCGTCCATGTCCTCTATATCCTTGCCCACGCGTTCTTCAAACTCTTTCCTCATCGCTATTATTATAAGTCCGCCTGAAAAAAAAAATAGTTCCATGTTTAGCACATGTATAAATGTCATAAAGTAAATAAAACATTCCATTCTAAATTTCATATTTGGGATAGAGTATAACTTTCACAATAATGCTTAAATCTAATCTATTTTTATTTCTAATACACGTACAGCTTATTATACAAAAAAGTTTTATAACAAAATATATAACCTCACGTCAGTCCTCGGATGGTACCGTTTTGATTACCAAACATTCAGTCCTAATAGTATGGTGGCTGAATTGGTACACTGCGCGTTGCGTTGTCGATAAAGCCAAACGGCGCGTTATCGCGTGGCGCGTTGTCGCCATGTCGCTTGGTTTTTATGTATACAAGTAGCAAATCCTTCGATTTGAGCCGAGCGGCGACGCGGCATGTTCGACGATGCAACGTGCAAAGTGTAACAAATCAGCACCATAACATAGTTATGTACACATGTTTTCCTAAACTAAGAGATATTAAAATATTATAATACAAAATCACCTGGTTTTACGATTCGGATCATTTCCATTATTCCAGAGCAAGGTATATGACTCCCTCCAATTCCACCAGCTACACCCAAGCAATCATATGCATCTATATTTAAAATGATGATAATAATTATTATTATAATAATAATAAACACAAAAAAGAACAACAACTTCTTACAAATTAATATTATGGTACGTTGTTTATTTTCAATCCAAAATTACATATATTAAGTTATTTGAATAATAACTATGGTGGCTGATTTGGAACGCTTATTGTGCGTCGACACGCGCTGTTTTGCCTAAGTCGCTGGCGACAAGACGAAAAGGCAATCACGATATAAGTTGTGCTGTCGCTATCGACAACGTCACACGCAACGTGCTTCAAATCAACCACCATATTTATAATAACAACATCCTTTTACACTTGTCTGAACCGCTTTTACTAACCTAAAAATACATGTAATGTAAAGACTTGTTAACCAACAGTAATACTGGTAAACAATCAAATACAAGACTTAGCATCAAATGATAACACATGTAATACTGGTAGAGAATCAAATAAAAGTCGTAGAATCAAATGATAACACATGTGGATTGTTTGTTTGTTTGTCTGTTTGTTTGTTTGTTTTGTTGCATTCTAAGTCATACGGACACTATAATGGTCACGTGGCGAAGGAAAACCTCAGGTGTCCTTCTATATATTATATGAGACACAAGTGGGCAGCTGAGTAGACCACTGACGTTCCGCCAGTTTGCTTGATAGCTTCCTCAGATGGAAGGATTAAAAGTCCCGGACGGGTTTCGAAGCCATGGCGATAAGGGGCAAGTTGTTTGAAGCCAAACAACTTTATCCTGTCGGTCACGGACACCAAGCAGATATAGAAAGAAGCAAAATAAGTTCCTAATAAACACGTATCACGTAACAAATAATTTAGACTTCTAACGGCCTGTATAAAACACTACAAATAAACATCGTACCATCTTGGATTGGTAATGTATTATAACCACAATATTCCTCATAAAGGTTGTTGTAATGTCCAGTTTTCATACACACTTTTAACATTCCTGATGATGAATCCAGACCGTCTATGTTCGTAAACCCATTAGCTGCCAGCTGTAAAGAAAATAAGTTAGGTTCTTTATATTGGCGGAATTTTTGAGTTTGGCAGAACATACTTGATTTATTAAATAACTATGGTGGCTGATTTTTTAACACTTTCGTGGTTCGTGTTGTCGCTACCGACAGCACGACAAAGCGACAAACGGCGCGTTGTCGGACTTTCTTTCGTCTTGCGGTCTGTTTCAAATAATGCATGCCATACGGCATACGGTGCGTTGTGTTGCCGCGATGTCACATTGTTACTCGGTTCAAATCGAAGGATTGGCTATTTGTATATATATTAGTCAAGCGACAGGGCGACAACACGCCGCACGTCAGCGCACTGTTTGGCATGCTTCGTTTGCAACAGGACGACAAGTCGACAGTGGGCGCGTTCCGCTAGCGACAAGACATAAAGGCGATAACGACGTAGGTTGTGTTGTCGCTATCGACAACGCAACACGCAAAGTGTACCAAATCAGCCACCATACATAACAGAAAGACACTATGTCTACTATTAAAATTTGCTATGGTAGCCACTGTGTTAAAATATGTTAGGATTTGAAGGTTGAAATTAACCAATGCAATGTCGGTCCAATCAAGAGCTAAAAAAGGATCAACAAAATAGACGGGTATCTTCTACGAATCATTGGTAACTAAACTTAAAGACTTTCTTGAATAGAAGAATCTACATGCCAGTTTTTCATTTTAAGTTCGAATTTGAATTCGGATTAATCTACTAAATTGCATTAATTTTATACATGTAAGCGGAAAGCTTCCTTTAATTTATGGCCTACAATTAAAGATGTTATCTGTCCATATTACTTGAATAAATTTCTGTTTATGAAGTTTAATGTTTATGTTTCGTTTCAACTTATTTCATTTATCGGCAATCAGCAATCCATACTGTTACGCTAGACGTACTTTTCGTTATTTGAGCCGCGCCATGACAAAACCAACATGATGGGTGTGCAACCAGCATGGATCCAGACCAGCCTGCGCTTCCGCGCAGTCTGATCAGGATCCATGCTGTTCGCTATCAGTTTCTCTACTTGTTATAGGGTTTGTAAGCGAACAGCATGGATCCTGATAAGACTGCGCGGATGCGCAGGCTGGTCTGGATCCATGCTGGTCGCACACCCACTATGTTGGTTTTGTCATGGCGTGGCTTATTTGATTTGTATATTAATTTTAAATAAAATTGAAGGTCTGCCAATAATGTCTTTTTTCCAAAACCACAAATTTCATTACCACATGAAAGCCCAAGTTTAAATATTTCATTAAATTTAAGTGCAAATGTCTAGACTCTAACGATTGTAAAAGAAAACATGGCTTTTGTAATTTAAAGTGTATAAAGCTATATATCTGCTGCAAAAATTATTGTTTGACTTTTTCCAAAATGCTTGTATGAAATAAACATGGTAGATAATAGCTTTAAAGGCGAATGAGGCATGCACAAAATCATTTCGAAACGGATAAAACCCTACTTAAAATATCAAATAATATTTTGTTCCGGTTACGTACAATATTCATGTGTGTTTAATAACAGAGACACAATTTTGAAGTTAAATAGGTATTAACCACGGAAGCTGTAGGCCTGAATTGTTACTTTTTCACATCGAAAGGAAAATCATAAGTACAGTGTATCGTATTTTTTTTATTATGGACATATAAATGAAATATTGAGAAATATAGATGAAATAAAAGCGTATCATCAGTTTCCATATTTTCACCTTAAAAATTTATTTTTCACAGCAGTGCAACATATGTTTCATATTTTCACTGGCAACTTGACGGACTACTTTCTTCTTAATTCAGCCAATACACAATTTTTTTTATTTTTTTTTTAAGAATTGTACGTTCATAAAAGAGAAAAAGAATATAATAAACAGAAAATTCAAGTTTTTTTCTATACATATAGAATTCATTTTCTTCTTGTGGTATCAAAATTATACTTCACTTGGTTTTTTTTTTAAAGTATTTTTCTTTCGGTTGCCATGGCAAACAAACTTTAGCATGTTAGTGATTTTTTGTGTGGAATTTGAAGGATAATCACTCAAGGATAATTTCTAGAAAGTATTAATATTGATATTATTGACCCAGTTTTGGAAGGATATCTAGATCAAAGAAGTGTTAATGGACGGACGTTCTTTCCAGAGCTACATTATGGGGTTTTCTTTTGTTATTTCTTTTGTTCTTTTTAACCCCACAATGCAGAAAATAACCCCACAAGAGAAACGGAATGAATGACATCTATTGTTATGAGAACAATAGACCAAACCCCATAATGTAGCTCTGGTTTGTACGGACTGACGGGCGGATATTGGACAATTGACGGTAAGTGTTGACAGCACGCTCTGCTCTGGTGAGATAATAACATAATATCAACCTTTGGATAGATTTTATATTTATAAGTTCCCCCATGAAGTTGCAAAGGAAATAAAACGCCGAAATGCAGTGATCATTACGCTTAGAATAATTCGCATTCACTGAATGATTCAAAATTCATTGCAATTTACACGAATGAAATACCGTTAATAACTTAATCCTTTAGAATTTATTTTCTTTCATTACTGTGTTACCAACATGCATTTATTATATAGCCATGTAACATTCCACATGATAAATAGAAATATATAGATATAACATTATTAACATCTGCATGTAATATAATTCATCTAAATACAGATAACATAACTTATTGCAGCAGTTCCGACATGACCTTCAATAGTTAATATTACTAATCGCACCAGTCCCGACTTGACCTACAATAGTTAACATCACTTACCGCAGCAGTCCCGACATGACCTACAATAGTTAACATTACTAACAGCAACAGTCCCGACATGACTTACAATAGTTAACATTACTAACCGCAGCAGTCCCGACATGGCCTACAATAGTTAACATTACTAACCGCAGCAGTCCCGACATGACCTACAATAGTTAACATTATTTACGGCAGTCCAGCTACATCTACGATATTTAACATTACATACAGCAGTCCCGACATTACCTCCAATAGTTAAGATTTCTTATTGCAGTGCCGACATGAGCTACAATAGTAAATATATTATTTACCGCAGTCCCGACACGACCAGTTCCACATGCAATGTCCATTATTTGTAGCTGATCTCTATTTTCAGGGAAGCAGGCCGCCATTTCGTCAGCAACTATTGAAGACGCACGGAACTTGCCCTCGTTCATCTCCTAGAAATACAAATTTAAACGTTTTATGTTTTAATGTTTTAATGTTTCCACGCTTCAAATAATTCTGACATTTTGTTTAGTTTTGCAAAATGCCTTTCAAATCTAAAATTAGACCTTAATGAACTCTTATTATACATCAAACAAACATATGGAGTTTGAATTGTGTAGAGCTTAATTCTAAATTTGAAAGGCTGTTAGTAAGTCTTACGAAGTTAAAAGAAATTAATTGCTTTGTTGATTATAGTTTCAAAATAATTAGATTTATTTAACATTTTATTCCTGTTTTATAACTCTTGACTAGTTATATAATTCTTGCCTATTATTTGTTTAGTTTTACGTAGCAAATTTACAGAAGAATGACACTTTAACACTTTACCCCATGAGCATATTGCAAAAAATGGCCGTTTTCATTGAAAAGCCTCCTGTAACAAGTTCAAACTGCTATGAAACTATGAAAAATGCTTCAATACTGATGAAACTTGGTACAAATATTGACTACACCATAGCCTCTGTAACAGCATGCTCAATCGTAAATTTCCTGTTACCATGGCAACGGGGGACGTCTCAAAATTGCCAAAAATCACTATTTTTCATTGGTTTTTCCCATCAAAACTGATTTCAAAGTGCTGCAACTTCTCAATGAATTGAGATAGAGTAAAAAGCTTTTCAGCGTCGGTTACTAGTTACCCTAACATCGACCTGAGGCCATTTCTAGCCTGTCACATGTCCAAAATTTTCTTGGCGATGAGGGGGACTCCGCCCCCTTCAAACCCCCCAAACAGAAGGGGGCACATTCCCCTTCTGGCAACCCCTAATGTAACATTTGGATGGGGGACGGCGCCAAAAAAGTGGTCACTTTTTTAAACAACATTTCTCAAACGAAAGACATTGTTTGGGGCCTATAAAGGCATTTTTCACTGTTCGAGGCCTCAAAAAGGGGGACAAAAAAACCGTCAAAACACGCTTATATGAGGGAAAAGGTTAACAAAATATGATGAAAAAACTTAGAATTACCCAAAAACTAGATTTTCCATGTAAACACCTGCCCTGGCACTGCATTTTGGTGAAAAATTGTTGTTTTTTGACATTTTTTATTTTTTTAATTTATTAACCTTTTACCCCATGAGCATATTGCGAAAAATGGCCGTTTTCATTGAAAAACCTCCTGTAACAAGTTCAAACTGCTATGAAACTATGAAAAATGCTTCAATACTGATGAAACTTGGTACAAATATTGACTACACCATAGCCTCTGTAACAGCATGCTCAATCGTAAATTTCCTGTTACCATGGCAACGGGGGACGTCTCAAAATTGCCAAAAATCACTATTTTTCATTGGTTTTTTCCATCAAAACTGATTTCAAAGTGCTGCAACTTCTCAATGAATTGAGATAGAGTAAAAGGCTTTTCAGCCTCGGTTACTAGTTACCCTAATATCGACATGAGGCCATTTTAGCCTGTCACATGTCCAAAATTTTCTTGGCGATGAGGGGGACTCCGCCCCCTTCAAAGCCCCCAAACAGAATGGGGCACATCCCCAGTCTGGCAACCCCCTGATGTAACATTTGGATGGGGGACGGCGCCGAAAAAGTGGTCACTTTTTGAAACAACACTTCTCAAACGAAAACCACTGTTTGGGGCCTAATTAGGGCATCTTTTCACTGTTTGAGGCCTCAAAAAGAGGAGGGGAGCAAAAAGCCGTCGAAACACGCTTATATGAGGGAAAAGGTTAACAAAATATGATGAAAAAACTTAGAATTACCCAAAAACTAGATTTTCCATGTAAACACCTGCCCTGGCACTGCATTTTGGTGAAAAATTGTTGTTTTTTGACATTTTTTATTTTTTTAATTAATTAACCTTTTACCCCATCAGCATATTGCGAAAAATGGCCGTTTTCATTGAAAAGCCTCCTGTAACAAGTTCAAACTGCTACGAAACTATGAAAAATGCTTCAATACTGATGAAACTTGGCACAAATATTGACTAGACCATAGCCCCTGTAACAGCATGCTCAATCGTAAATTTCCTGTTACCATGGCAACGGGGGGACGTCTGAACATTGCCAAAAATCACTATTTTTCATTGGTTTTTTCCATCAAAACTGATTTCAAAGTGCTGCAACTTCTCAATGAATTGAGATAGAGTAAAAGGCTTTTCAGCGTCGGTTACTTGTTACCCTAAGATCTACCTTAGGCCATTTCTAGCCTGTCACATGTCCATAATTTTCTTAGCGATGAGGGGGACTCCGCCCCCTTCAAACCCCCCAAACGGGCACATCCCCCTTCTGGCAACCCCCTGATGTAACATTTGGATGGGGGACGGCTCCGAAAAAATGGTCACTTTTTTAGCAACATTTATCAAACGAAAACCAGTGTTTGGGGCCTAAATAGGCCATTTTTTCACTGTTTGAGGCCTCAAAAACGCGGGGGGAGGATGGGGGGGGGGGCAAAAAGCCGTCGAAACACGCTTATATGAGAGAAAGGATTAAAACGTCATGCTGTAGATAAAAAAAAATAACAAATTAATTAACAAATAAATAAGCAAACAAACAAACAAATAAATAAATGTAAAAATAAAAAAAAAATCACAGACAAAAAACAACAAAAAAAATTAGACAAACAAACAAAATAAAGACAAAAATTCCGTTGATTTTCTAGGAAATACCTTTTCATATCCCATATTTTCAGCCCACCTTGAATAGTATTCCGCTAGTTGTGTCGGTGACATGTTAGCCATAGTCATCTTAATTTTGTCTGAAAAACTTTCCATTATCCGCATATGTGTGCTCAGTTTTTGCTTATAAGCTTTATTTACTATTTTATCTACTATAAAATATCTTTAAAATATCTGATATTTTCTAAGTTAAAAAAATTAAACACACAAGTTAAGTCATGTATTAGGTGAACATTTTTGCTTTTCAATATAAAAGGGATATAAGGTGTGATGGTTTTATACAATGCACAAGAGAGTCAATTTGGCCTGAAATCACCCACCTGAGATCCATTATTACAGAAAGCAATTAATTTTTCAATGCAGAAATAAGATATTATAGAATCAGAGTTACAGTTTTCAGCTTTCAGCTTTTGATATTATTAAATTGTAGTAGAATTGCAAATTTATGGACTCGTAAAAAATAAAAAGTACCCCAAAAATTTTGCAAAAAGTTCGCTCACACTTAGTGATACGTAGATCTACATGTATTTTTTCAAAATAAAATAATAGCAAAGTTTACTATGCTACCTAGACTGTCGACAGGTATTTGATAGAGTGTGAAATGATATGTGATGGAAAGAGCATCGAAGCACGAGGCTATCTGATTTGTACGAGGGGGCGTATCTTTTTTGTATCATAGTAAAAAATAAAAACACGTTCCCTGTTGTCACAATATGACATCCCAGAAAAAAGTAACCAATGAACGAGCATCTGAATATGACAGCACTATGCATGTACAAAATGTATATGTATAAGATTTAACTCTGACACATTTGCAACAGAAGGATCCCCAAACTATGATACAGGAGTGTGATATGACCCCATGAGATGCTTCAATAATCTTTACAAAGCATACATGCCAGACTGGTTTGAGTTGAAGTAGGGAACCAGACAGAGCGGGGAAATATCTTCTTAACATCAACGGCCTTATCTTAAAACTTGATCAACAATCAAACCTAGGTTTTTGTATGTATAACATGAACATAAGTAGCCCTACACTTGCAGACGGCATGGTCCTATAATCTCTTTCAAAACATGGCTGAGATCAAATGATCATATAGTTCATTTGCTATAGCCACACAACATATGGCGTTTTGAGTACAATCCTTCCAAATGTTCTGTGGTTGTCTACCATAAGCCAAAGATTGAATACGAGAAAGCAATTCGTCACAGAAAGTGGACAAAAGGTGCAAAAACAACATGTGAGGGTATTGAATATGTGCATGTTGGAATAACTTTAAACAAGAACTCGTTGATAAATGATAATTTCAACGTGAAATTAATCAGCGGTATGAAAACCTTTGTCAATAAATATCACCGGAACACATTTCAAATATTTTCGACATTGATGATAAGTGTAAATTTTGGATTTAAAGTAAAAAAACTCCCGGCAGCAAGATTAATTATATTGCTTCTCTGCTCTGACAATTTCTGCTGTTTTCATTCAGTGTTTTCTTCTCGTATGCATGCTTAACGTCCATTTTGTACGACAGAAAGATACGGTGTCTCGGTCAAAAATAAAATATTTTGACGTTTGTTAAACGCCCTATCACCCAATCTCCTACGCACTGATCTCCCCTTGTTAACAATTCTGCCAAGGGAGGTAATCAGTGTGAGGAGTTTGCCTATCACCGTGTATATCTGTACGTTAATATGGCGGCTGATTTTTGCCATTCGTCTATGACCCTCCAATGAATCATATTTATCAAAGGCGGTCGGGAGTATATTTCTGGTAATTTGGCCTATATATACATCGTGGATTCTGTGTCAAAGCTTCCTTTCGGGGGCATAAGTCACTTTTCAGTGACAGTTCCTGTTTTTGGTGCACCAACACAGTGAGGGTCATATGGCAACTTTCCACCTTAACTGGTGACATCAGGCCCCCCCCCCCCTCTGTGCATTATTTCAGAAACAAGCGGACAACTTAGTAGAACCACTGACGTTCCGTAAGCTAGCTTGATAGCGTCCTCACACAAAAGCACCAATCGCAACTTTTCAGCCCTTTCCGTCAGTCTTCTAGATAATAACCGAGAACGTTCCGATTGACGAAATAACTAAATGTTCTCTAGAGGGATTTGAACCTACAGCGATGTAAAATATCAGATCTTTGGACATTGCAGTTTCTATGAAAAAGGATTTTTAAAGATATAAATATTATTGTTAGGCTGTTAAAAGGTTTCAATGACCATACTGTTCATTAAACAATTATATAATGTTTCTTGAGCGTCCTCAAATGATTACCCCTAACAGTCTATCATACGTACAAGAAAGAAATCGTTGCTGAAGACATGATCAGGTGAGCTGAAAAATGACATTAAAATTTGTCGAACAAATGGGCCTCGTTTTAAATTCACAACTGAATAAACACAAGGTAGGTGAGTTCACAAATGCAAATTTCCGAAGTTTTCAAATGTCGGGCATGGTTAAAAGTGCACATATAAACCAGAACAGAACAGAACAGATGTTTTATAAATTTAATTTTTAAAAATCTAATTTAACGTATACTTACTGATGCGTTGAGTTTATTTAAAATTTATATTTTTTAAAAATGATTTGTGCACATAAATGAAGCATTATATGCGGTAGAAGACAACCCGGCTCCAAGTCAATCTGACTCGAAGTCACTTTCCGAATCAGGAAAATTTCGCAAGAAGTTCTTATTCTTAAAAGTTTTTTTTTAAAGACTCATGTTTGATATTCACCAGTCAATCAAATTCATTCGATTCTCTGTACATTATTGAATAGTTTTGTTGTAAATCTGATAAAAACTGACAGAAATTACTTGTTTGTAGGATCACCGAAGTTCGTTAATACAAATTATAATATGCAAATGAAAGAGTAAGTGGGCAATCGACATGTCACATTGTTAAACAACAATACAAAAAAATGCTGCTATTCGACCAAGGCAAATGCAAGATTTACACCTCTAAGTATATGCTTAGTTAATGTTAATTAGAAAACATAAATTCTTACAAAATTAAATTGGTCAATTGCAGCGTCAAAGTTGTGTGTCATGTCTTTTGTTCATTAATTTATCTTATTATATATTTTTAAGAAGAAAAAAAACGTTTGTAAACCTTTTCTTTTCCTTTTTTTGGGGGTGGGGGTGGGTGGTTGGGGAATGGGGGGTTGGATGTGGGTAATAGATTTTTTGTTGGGCATTTTTAGATTTCATACGTGCGTAATCAATATTGTAAGTCGCGCCTTTTAAAATCGCCTACGCCTGTGCAGTACAAAACAGTTGACATAACATTTTATTAACCTGATATAAAGTTAGTGACTTTTTAAGCCGATTTGTTCCGATTCATTAGAAAAACTGCAAACATATTGGACACACACACACACACACAAAAAAAACCCCACAAATACGGATGTGCACCATCCTATCGCTTGAACAATGAGCATATCTGTATGAAAACATCAGCTTTTAAATGCGGAAATAAACTTAATTCGTACTATAAGTGGTTGAATATAATTTTGTCCAATGGTACATCACGACAACTGTGAATGGCCTGAAATTAACTGTTAACCGGGTAAATGTCGCCGTTCCTGTTCCTGGACGGTGATATACACAATTTGATATACTAATATACTCATGCAGTTGTCCGCTTTTCTATTGGGATCGTTAATGGAGTTTCATTTTATTGATAAATCATTAGATTTTTATATTTCATTTATTTATTTGTTTCATCTTTACATGTACATGTATACGCATATAATCAACACATTAATTAAAGGTCAATAACACACTTTCCTTATCTTGACTGGAAAAATAAAAATAATGTTGTATATAAAACTAAAATGAAGAAAGTTTTAACGCAAGTTTTTTCAGTTGAGTCAATATTAAAAATGCACAATAATAACAGAACTGACTCTTGAAGTGCAACTTTTCGGCCCTTTCCGTCACTCTTCGGATAAGGACCTCGAACACAATAGTATAAATACATACGCTAAGAAACTAGACATGTAAACCAATAATAATTTAATGCTTGGTGGTTTTGACTTTGTTTATTCCAATATATTTAGTAAAAGTCCATATTTGAAGCTTTACGCAATTTATATACTTATTATTTTGACTGTAAAAATCGAAAGTACATTTAATCACATCCGTGATTAAATGCCGACTCGTATTTGTTTAAAAAATTTTCTTTTTAAATTGGTTATGATTGTCAGACATATTTTCAATCATAATTTTACAGAAATATACCTTAATTTCCTATGTATATAAAATATATACATTCGTTATACATTATCAAAAATTACACGCTCTGCTTTTGTTTACATCTAAAAGCACGTGGTAGAACTATTTTCAATCCGTATTGTGTCCGAGGTTATTATGTATAATAGCCAGCTGAGGATGTTCCGATTGAAAATTCCTATCTCTGGTACAATCGCACTCTTGATATAAAACATTTTTATAGGTGAAGTGTGTTTCAGACGGCTGATCTCTATTAAAAGGTTATACAATTTTACAGAGTCCCTAAAGTGACATTTTAAACAGTTTATGATTTCGTTTAAAATTTATTAAAGTTTCACAATATTTAATGAGTTCATACTTAACATCGAAATTAAACTTCGTTTCCTTCTTAAAAGTATAATTTATGAATTTTACAATCGTTATTATAAAAACGAAAACTACCGGCAAGATTTATGTTCTGTTTCCCTTTGTCGTCTTTTTTACTTCTTTCTACTACTGAAACATTAATAATATAATTTGATTTTTTAATCGCTATATTACCTGTGTATATAAAATTATTACGTTTTTCATAAATAACTAAATGTTTATCTTATGATAAAAAAGTATGTTAACCTTTTACCTCATATAGGCGTGTTTTGACGGCTTTTCACCTCCACACACTTTTGAGGGCTCAAATAATGAAAAAATGCCCTATGTAAGCCCCAAACACATACAAAATATTAATTAAATAACAAGCTACATGCGTATTACAAAATGATGGTCTAAATTTTACATAATTGTGTTGACATATAAAAGTATGTATATATGACAATTTTAACTAAGCTGTGGGAACATGTTAAAAAGTGATATGCAGTCCCCCGTCAACTGGCCCCGTATTGTAAAATCGTTACAATTTTGAATATTCTTACCATTACAATTGATTGTCTTTTCCCAAGGGTTGCTGTTTCCAATAAT